TCCTGCCCACCTGGCAACTTAAAAGATTTCCTTTTCATTTCTTTGATATAGAAATTACTTACATTGGATTTGCCACTGGGCTTATTTAATTGGTATTAAAACAAAACACCTTGTTTGCCAGATCTACCATGGTTTCTGGTGGCTGCTGAGAGTGCACCGCAATTCGTGCCCTTGGAGTTGTCAGAGAATGCAATTACCTTTCTGTGTTCTCCTGAGGCCTTAGGGACCCACATGTCACAAAAAGGATAACTAGCTTGTTACTATTTCCGGTGTGAAATTTTAATGAATTCCTGACAGTCTAATGATTTTCTTTCAGTTAAAAAAAAAAGAACCGAAAAACCCCACCCTATTTTAGAACTTTTAACTAATAGACCTAATGAGAATTTTTGATTAGTCTGTCATTCTCCTCTGCCACAATTGATAGATTTTTTTTTTTTGGTAGAACTGTTATTTATGCTCTCTGGAGGTTTTCATTTTATAATTAGAATGCTCTCTGCAAGCCTTGTAGGTATGCTCCAAGTGAATGCACCCGTGTAAACACAAATCTCTTCAGTCCTTAAAGGTAATTACAGCTGACAATGGTAAATGCCATGATGCTTATTTAAAGAAGGAGAGGTTTCTGGTTGGGGGAGGCCTTTCAGTCTAAAAATTTAGTATTACTAAGCTCTTTCTTTATAGACAGCAGGTATGGGCCTCGGGGGCTAGACTAGGAGAAACCTGCTTTTAATAAAGCTGATGAGAATAAAACCAGGGCTGATCTTCACTTGAGGGTCCTCTTGTCCTTTGCCCCCAGCAGACTTCAGGGCAGTGGTCCTCTCGGGCTTGCTTCCATCTGTCTTCCTTGTTGCCTCAATATTCCATAATCATCTCAAGGGGGGCTTCTCTGGAGATTCGGTCCACTGCAGTGCAGGGAATGTTCTCGATTAAGGTGGTAAGATTGCCATGGAGACAGACTGCCTGGTGTCAGGTCTTACATGGTCTGGGAATTTACAGTCCCCAGCCATCTTTGTGAGCTGGACAGTGTAGTTACCAGGGACCCTTCTGGAAGTCATTTTCTCAGTCCTTTGAAGGGCAGTGGTGTTTGGGAAGGCAGCCCTGGGTTCATCTCTGGGCAGGAGCTGTGCTGCTTTTGTTTCTGCATGTTGTTGCTTTGTTCTTCTCCGTCTGAATGGCTGCTGCAAAAAATAATCCTGACTGCCTGACCTTTAGAATATAAACTGGCAAGAGCTGGCTGGTTAGATGTAGCTTTGTTGAGAGATGTGTTGAGGCTTTGATTCAGAGAACTGTTCATGAGAAAACAGAAAGTCGGCTGTAGGTTTCAAATATCGTTTTAATAATAATAAAAACAAACCTGAAAAAGGACTTGCATAACTACATTGTTTTATTTTTGGAACTAGGCTTCAGCTGCAGAGGTATTATAAAAATACTAGAAACATTAATCTTAGAATCAGTAACAATAATTTAACTGTGAAGCCTCAAAAATTCCACATTTGTTAGTGTAGGGGTCTGGGTAAGAGTTGGAGTTCAAAAAATAACACCTTGGTGCTTTTTATATTTTTCACATTTTTCCTTGGAAACATACTGTGATGGAGGTTTTGTTATTTGTTCTTTAAGAAAAGCAAACTAAGGACATGAATTCGTTATTAATCAGATCTATGAAATGGCATTTTATGTTCTGCCTCAGCACTGGGGATGTTTGTGAGAGTCTGTCGGTCACTTTCAGGGTGCCTTGTGGCAGCTTGTTAGGTGTTTGAAACCTCAGACATTGCCTAGTTCTTCTTGATGTTGTGATTCCTTAATAGGAAAAAGAAAAAAAAAGGATAACTGTAGGGATAGTCAGGCCTGTGACTTTTACTTAGAGTAGGTCCCTTGCAGGTCGCTGGTGTTCATCACCAATAGAAGAGAGGCATGAATTTAAAAAACAAAACCAGAACCACAACAAGACCAAAATAACCCCACTGTGTAATTCCTTTTTTACCCAAGCTCCTGATCACATTGCCTTTCTAGCCATTTGGAACATGGAGTTCATTCCTTCCAGATGTTTTTGTACCTTATTTCGTTCCTTGGAATGAGTAAATCTTTGGATAATATGATTTTGGTTTGACTAGTTTCTGGTCTTGTGCAGCTAAAAATTTTACCCTCATCAGGCTTAAATGGGAAGGTCAGATTCTTAGCACACTGGATTTGCCCTGTTCCCAGATTCCACACTCTAGACCTGAAGAATTATCAATACCTTCAGAACCAAGTGGAAGGACCATGTGCCAAGTACCAGTGGTAGATTTCTTTGAAAAGGAGCAGAATTAGAAGGGGAGGGGAGAGTAGGGATGCTCTATACTGCTTGCATTGTTTATGTTGATACTGTGTCCTAAATTATTTGCTTGCTTAGAAAATATCCATCCATCCATCTATCCATCTATCCATCCATCCATCCATCCATCCATTCATCCATCTTATTGTTCTTACAGCTCATGGATTTAGTAGGCTGTAGGGATTATAGATCCTTTAATTGGATGAAATCCAGCCAGCACACTAAGGTTGTTGATGGATGTTTTAAGCCAGGAACTGGAGCTGAATGAAATATTGATTTGGTTCAGGTTCAGTTCAAAGACTACTCTGATATTCTGGTTTTGTTTCAGGTCAATAATTTTAGAACAAAAAGGCTTAGGCATAGTACAGTCTACTTAAAAAGCAAGAGAAGTTTGGCTCTGTTTAATATTTAGCAATGCAATAGTTTATCTAAAATTTTGCTTCAGGTATCTGTTTTAGATGGAACTGTGATAGAAAAGTGAAACCATTGGTGTGAATTTTACTTGACATGAAGGTGATTTTGTGATTATCAAGAGAGGTAATGAAATCACAAATAGGGTTTATTTATATTGAGACCCGTGTGTTTGTTCTGGGGAGTTCTTTGAGGCATGATCTATACTGTCAAGGATAGTAGATGAAGATCTTAGTTCTTCTATCATTTATTTGAAAATTTCCCTTTGGCTCAGGGCAATTTCCTGGGGAATTTCCACAAAATGGATTTTATGGGCTAAAACTGGGTGAGGCTCGAATGTTGCAGATGAACAAAAAGACTATAATGAAATGAGTGTGAAGTTACTGGCAAACATTGTGAGGAAAATGTGTTTGGTTTGGTTTGGTTTTGCTTTGCAAGAGGATACTGAGAGATTCACTTGGGCCAGGTAGTTTTTTGTTTGTTTGTTTTTTGGTCTGGTCGTGGGGCCTGAACTCTGGGCCTGGGCGCTGTCCCTCAGCTCTTCAGCTCAAGGCTAGCGCTCTACCACTTAAGCCACAGCGCCACTTCTGGCTTTATTCTTTTTGCTTATGTGGTGCTGAGGAATCGAACCCAGAGCCTCAGGCATGCAAGGCAAGCACTGAGCCACCTTCCCAGCCCCCCCCCCCAGGTAGTTTTTTTAAAAATATATATTTTTATTGTAAAGATACTGTACAAAGGGGTTACAGTTACATGAGTAAGGTAATGAGTATATTTCTTGTCGAGCATTGTTACCTCCTCCTTTGTTTTTTCCCTATCATCCCTTCCCTCCCCACTGCCCCAACTTCTCTCCCCCCCCCCCCCGCCCCGCACGCACCCAAAGCTGTAAAGTTCATTTTCAACATAGTGTCTTGTACATCTCATTGTTACAATAGGTCATCCTGTATCCTTATTTCAGCATTTTGTTATTTCCCTTCCCCTCCCCAAATTAGAAAAATGTATATACAAGATACAGGGCACTGGAATCAAATATAGTGAAAACAGGGGTTATACCATGGGGGAAGAACATACAAAAAACAAAGGAGGAGATAACAATGCTTGATAGGAAATGTTCTCATTACCTTGCTCATGTAACTGTAACCGCTCTGTATAGAATTTCTACAATAAAAATGTATTAAAAAAAGAAACAAAAAAATCACACAGTACATTGTAAGTACATTAAAAACAACAGCAACAAAGATAAAACCTCTTGTGTCCCTATCTTGGTGTTCATTTCACTTAGCATCATCTTATATGGTCACATGTACATAGCTTTTGACCTTTTCTGCTTGTCCTGGACATATACTAATTATTGCAAATAAGGGAAACCATGGGACCTATGTTTCTTGGGGCTGGACCAGGTAGTTTTCTTGACTCCTTTCATGTGCTTTGTTTTTGCAAGGTGATTTTCTTTCTTGTTAGGACCAACCACTGGCCAGCTTGATGATTGATTCCTCAATTTGCATTGCCAAATTTAGCAGTTTCCTTTGAAGGCTTTAACAAACTCTACTCTGCAGACTGATAACTGATATGTATGGTGGATCTCTGCATGGAATTCTAGACTGGCAGTTTTTACTTTTTCTGGGACTACCTGACATCACAAGAAATTATTCAGTTTGAATGCTCCAGCAGAGCCAATTAATTTTGACTTCCTGGGGAAGAGAATAGAAGTGGGAAATATGTTTGCACAGTACCAGTGGCGTCCTCTGGTCCAGGCTGCCCTGACTTCCTCCTGCAGGCTCAGAGATTCCCAGGATGCGAGGACTGGGACCCCACAGTGTGCTGTTTAAACAATGGTGATGTGTTCCTTGATTTGGCTGTTCCACTAATGACTCAGTAACGTGGTTAATTGGTAATTAGGATGTCTCAGAGGTCTGTTTCCCTTTGAATCAGTCACTAGAGAGAATAGGATTCTAGTCAATCCCAGCATATTTCTCAACAAAAGCGAAGTGTATACAGAAATTTCCAGACACAGATGCAACTTGGATTAGTTAAAGCCATGTGGCCATTGGAACCAGATAATTTATATAACTTGCATTGGGAGGGAGGGCCAGACTCCTTCCTTAATCTAGTGTTGGTCAACTAACTTTGACCTTTCTCCTCAAGCAGCCTAGGAACAAACTTTATGCAGGAGCTCTTCATTGTGCCCTCTGTAATTTTCATTGTGAGTAGTTTTAGAACTCTTCCTATAGGAGGGCCTGCTCCACTTCTTCAGTTCTCACCACACCTTTGCTCTGCTTTGCAGGAGAAGCTGTACCTGAGGATGAACAGATCAGTGCTAAGGACCAGAAGAACCTGGAACCCTGTGATAACACCCCCATCATAGACAACATTGCTCCTGTAGTTGCTGGCATCTCTTCAGAGGAGAAGGAGAAGTATGATGAGGAGATCTCCAGTTTATACAGACAACTGGATGATAAGGTCTGTAGCCACAGTTGACAGTTCTCACTCTGGTGCATTCATATCCAACCCCATGCACCAGGCTAATCTTCTCAATTCCCATTCTGATTTGGAACATGCAAACTCAGGGAGCTTACTTCTTTCTAGTGAGAAGAAGCACTTGGGGAGGTTTGAGTAGATGAGAGGACTTTGAGTTAGACTGAGAGGTAGGACCTATTTAGAACTTTGACTTCTAGAATGCCAACTGGTTGATTATTACAGGAGACTAGAGGTATGTAAATGTGTGTAAGCCTGTGTTTACGTTTTCTTTTCTTTTCTGTGAGCCTGTGCCTCTCCTCTTGGAAACTTCTGCAGTAGCTCTAGCTGGGGGCAAGTCAAATGTGAACTTAATCATGTAGTCCATGGGATGTGAAGTGTAATCATATTGTAGACTGATGGCCCCTTAATCTGTGAAGTATTATTATTGAATGAAGAACTTTGAGCATACTAATTAGGGATGCTTAACTTTAGAACAAACATTCAGGACTCAAATAATCCTGTTAATGAGTAAGTTAGGAGAGTCCTTGAAGAATATGTATCATTCATCCCCAATAAAGGTCAAGTAAGGAATCCCAGAGGCATAGGAAATGAAATTGATGTTTCATGTGATCTTGGCTTATTGCCCTTGGAATACTCTAAATCCTTTCAGTTCATTTCATTAAGGTTGCTGGTATTTTTAGTCTACTTTAATCTCGTCTGCTGTGGTTCAACCTCCAGTTCTTTGGGGATACGTCTGGCTTGGTTATAACAGTTTTGGAATGTTAACATCACCGTTCATCCTAATTAGAGGCCTGTCGTTGGGGTGAAAGCGCAGTGTGGAGTCACCTTTCCAGACTGAATGTGACTGGTGGCCTGGAGTTCTGTTTGTTTGTGATTCTGGGCATTTGCATTATCCACAACATTAAACCAGGGTCACTGTACCCTTCTGAAAACTCATTCACAAAATAGACACACCTGTAAGTGAGTGGGCCATGTGCCCTCCATGCTCTGGACATCCCATCACCTTCTATTTTTATGCAGGCATTCTGCGGAAAGCCTTAAAGTAAAAAAGAAGCAGATCAATACTAAGTTAATAGTATATGCACTTTCTTGATTTCCCCAAAGAAGTGCCATTGTTGAAATAATAAAGAAATACTGCATGCCAGATTTCCTCATTTTATAATTGATAGACTGTATTAATCCACAGAGTATTAGTGAACTAGGGGGTGAGATTCTATACTTGTGGCCTTCCATGGATGGAATTGGTGTCATTTACCTTGGTGGCATGTAGAACTTCCACTGACCTGGGAGAGAAGCTTTGGAGCATCTCAAATCTAGATTGTGAAATGTAGTGATGAGAAATGAGCTCAGTGACATGAAAGTGCGATATCCGAGGTATTCATCTAGTGGCTGGTGAGCTGGCCCTAGAGGCCCTGCCTCTTCACCCAGCAAAGGGCCATTTTCCTGTTCTATTACCATTTTACAGCAGATGGTTATTGTGATGCTGAGAGATGCAGGAGGGAATGAAGATCTAGCCTTAGAGGGCATCAAGATTTTGGTCTGCCCTGGTAACTCTGCTTGTGAGCTGCCTGATTTTTGTCTTATTAGCTTTCAGTCTTATGTGTTCTCTCCAAGGTCCTGGAAGATGTTTCCATGTTTCTGGTGATTGCAGATGACTCGATATTTTGAGAGTCGCGACATGGCAGCTTCGAGATGATTGAATGGTAGAACTGAAAGTGTCTAGGTCTCAGTGAGACATTCTGAGTGACTTATTCAAGTTCACCTTGCTTAAAAGATTCAGAATGAGAATACATATCTTGTGTGTGTGTGTGTGTGTGTGTGTGTGTGTGCGCGCGTGTGTGCGCGCGCATGCACCTTGAAGAATGCTAATCTTGTTCTACAGCTTGAGCCACATCGCAGTTGGCTGATTCCATTTTGGCTCTGGCCCTTTAACTAGGGAACTTGTCAGTGAAGCTCCAGTGAATCTTTGCTGTGCTTTCCCTCCAGGGACTACAGGCAGATATTCACCTAGGGTCGTGCCCTGTGATGGGAAAGCCCACATGGTGACATCAGACCTGGGACCCAAAAATGCCAAGTCCTGGGCTGATGTTCTGCCTGCTGATGGTTCTTTTCTCCTGTATAACATTGGGTTCACTCCTGGCAATTTAGTAGGTTGCCGTGGAGATGAAAATTCCCTAGTTCAGAGCAGGTACAATGTAAATATTAGTTCCCTCCTTTCCAGCCTTCTCCATTTGGTTCTGTTTGCTTGAGGGAGAAGCCATATCAATGTGATATTGCACGGGAACCGAAGCGGTTATAATGGAAACACCCTGATATTGGCATTGCTTCTCTCTCATTCTTGGTTGGAGATCTGTGAGAGGAGGCAAGTTTAAGTAGAATTATAAGTTGATTACTTATCATACTGGTTACAGTTGCATGAAATCATCTCAATAATTAAAATGTACTAGTGATCTTTTGGCCACTAACTGACTACGTTATTTCATGTGTAAGAAAATCCATCTACAAGATTATTTTCTGAAAAGTACTTTGAAATCTGTGATCTTTGACCAGATTTTTATAGTCATCATCAGATTGGAGGGTGGTTAAATTGGTCTTGAGAGATTCACCTGACCGTGTAGAGATAACTCTGTGTGTGGGAGATCTTATTCTGCAAGGCTTGAACTAACTAAAAAAATCACAGGCTCATGCCTGTAATTCTAGCTACTCAGGAGACTGAGATCTGAGGAGCCCAGTTCAAAGCTAGCCCTGGAGGAAAAGTCCATGAGACTCTTATCTTCAGTTAACCACCAGAAAACTGGAAGTAGAGCTGTGAAAGTGTTAAGAGTGCTAGCTTTGAGCAAAAAAGCTCAGGGACAGCACCCAGGCCCTGAGTTCAAGCCCCATGACCACCACCACCAAAAAGGAAAGAATCACAATAGACCATGTTAATTCCTTAGGAAGCTGACTTAGTAAAGGGTAAATATAGTTTAGAAAATGTCTCTATGCAAGTGATTCATATCCTTTTTAATGTAATGCTTGTTCTATATCCATCCCACATGGGGCCAGGGTCCTTGTTTTTTTCCATTGTGTCTTAAAAATCATGGTATGCCAGCTTGTCACCTGTCTAAAAGGCAGCCTACATCTATGCAGTATCATGAGTGCAATGTAAGAACAAAGGGCCCAGCATTCCCTGTTCCTCTGCCCTTGGTACTTCTGATCTGGAGCAGGCTGCTCTTTGTCCCTGGGGAGAGAGATGGTGGCTCCCTGATGTTTAGCTCTTTGGCTCTTTTATGTTAAGCTGTTTAATATTTATGTCTTGAGGAACATAAACACAAAATTGTTCCTAGTAACTGACATGCTAAGTTTATAAAGTAGAAGAGAAAATATTTCCTCCTAAATACTTTGCTAGCTGTGAAAGTACCATTTTTGGGCAGTTCCACTCTGGTGTCATTTCTCTAATTCTCCTGCCAGAAATCTCAGTTGGAGAGGGAAGTCACCAATATTTCATAAAATCACTCAAGAAACGTGGGTGTGAAGGGGGTCAATGGAAACAGCCAATAGGCATCATACACACAAGAAAAGGAGACACTGAGTCTGGACTATTCTTGCTCTTTGGAAAGCATTCATCTGTTTACTGGTTTCAAATGTATGTACCAACATCACCGAACAGGATGGAGAGGATACATGGGCACTGAGGTGCTACAGGCCCTGGGGTTCCCCTCTCTCCACCTGACTTGTGGATTTGGCAGAAAACACAGTCCAGATTTTTCTTTCTATTGGGTATTGATGAAGACACCTAGGCAGAACCTGGCATGGAACTGAGTTTAATGCTGTGTGGTATATAGAGCCGAGAAGTGCCTCCAGTAGGGTTTTTCTCCTGTTCCTAAGTGGGAGGAAGACAGATATAAAGCCAGTTGTTAGGTTTTGCAGTCTGTGCTTCAAATTGCATGAATTCCCAAGAGCATTGCCACAGCTGCCGCGTTCTGACACATTCATTGGGTATTGTCCTGCCTGCGCTGTGGGTGGACCGTGCCTAGGGAGAGGCAGAGATGCTTGAGCCAGCAGTGAGAGGCAAGCAGTGAGTGTCCTTGCTTTTGTGGCAGCAACACCTAGTGGCAGAACATGGGAGGAGAGCGAATGGCCTGTCTCACGTCAGTGATAGCCTGGGAAGCAAGCCTTAATGCCTGTGTACCTCCAGCTGCCTTCAGGGCTTTTCAGATGGTTCAGAAAATTAGTTTCCAGTCAAGAGTGGCGGTCTGCTAATGCTTGTACATATTTTTTACTCACCGAAGTAAAAGCTTTGGAAAAATACTGGTCTTTCCTTTCTTGTCTCTCAGGAGGCACAGATCACTGGTTGCTGAGGTGTTTGACAAGGTTTGGGGCATGGATATCTTATAGTAAAGACGATGAAAGATTCACTCCTTTTTGTTTTGTTTGGCTTTGTCAATACTGGGGTTTGAACTGAGGGCCTGTGTACAGCCCTTCAGCTTTTTTGTTTTGTTTTGTTTTTGCTCAAGGCTGGGACTCTACCACTTGAGCCATGGCTTCACTTCAGGCTTTTTGGTGGTTAATTGGAGATAAGAGTATCATAGGCTCTATTGCTTGAGCTGGCTTTGAACCATAATCATCAGATCTCAACATCCTGAGTAGGTAGGCTTACTAATTTTGAATTAGGAATTTACTGTTAAAACTTTGCATAGAGAATGATATATACCAGTGTCCCAGCCCTAGGATTGATGAATAAACAGTACATAGGGGTGGATGTGTAGGGTATTGCAGTTCCCAGAATATCCAGAAGTTCCGTCTGCTGAAAAAGGTGAGTGAAGGCCCATTCTAACCAAACAATGTCTCAGAATTCCCACCATCTTATTAACAAGCGTATGGCTGGCAACTTGGTGCCCAGCTATTGTCGGGGAAACCAGGATATCAAAAATGACATAAGTAGCAAAAAAAAATTTTAAACATGATGTTTCCTTTCAGGATGATGAAATTAACCAGCAGAGCCAGCTGGCTGAAAAGCTAAAGCAACAGATGTTGGATCAGGATGAGGTAAAGAATGCAATAAATTCCTCTTTGCAAAGTATTTTTATTGCTCTTTGTTGTTGATGTTCATTCCAGAAATTTAATTTGTGAAGCATTTCTTCAAAACTCATTGAATCATGGAGAAATTTCTTGGTAGATTTCCTTTGAATGCCTGCTAAAAGCTGCTTTTGGCTGAATTTAGAAAATAAATGTCTGATTCTGTAGAGCTCTGGGGTTCTGAGAGTAAGTAGCTGCTTGAGAAGTTTAGTCCTAGACAGGCAGGGCAGTGGTTGGGCAAGGATGACTTTAAAAAAAAATTGTTATTGTAAAGGTGATCTACAGAGGGGTTATAGTTACTTGAGCCAGGTAGTGAGTACATTTCTTTTTTAACAATGTAACCTCTTCTCTCATTTTCTCCCAGCTTTTCCCTTCCCATCCACTCCCCCACAAACTGTATAGTTCATTTTTAACATAGTGTCTAGTGAGTATCATGGCCTCATTTGTTTACCCTTTGTTCTATCATTTTGGTGCTCCTCCTTACCCTCCCCTAGACAGATAAACTTATATACAAGACAAAAGGTATAGGAAGCAAAAACAGTGATAACAGAGGGGGAAAATGCCTCTTGTTTCCATTTCTTACATCATTTTATATATGATCATATGCACATAGCTATTGAGCCTTTGCGATCCTCTCCTAAGAATGAAGGATGACTCTCTTCTTGGAGCCAGCACTCTAAAGCCTGGTTATTTTAGGTTCTTTGCATATCAGGTGGCCCAGGTTTTGATGTAGACTATGTTCTCCTTTTATAAGGAAAAACAAAAACATATCTAACAAAGTTAGAAGGTTGAGGAGGGGGAAGAAAGAAGAAAAGAAGTCCTGGTGCCTTATTAGCATATATTTGGTAGTAAAACGGAGTCAAATCATCTCAGTCCCTCTCTAAGGGCATTCCATCCTGCAGTAAATGTCTTTATTGCACTGTTTTGCCAGGAGTTTTACAAACAGCAACCTAAGCAAAGGACAACCGGCCAGCCAGTCCATCACACATAGGTGATGAGTGGCTTCCTTGCCGAGGGTCACGTACACATTTCTTCCTTTTGTGCTTTAAGGTTCTTTCCCCCCACCTTCATTGCTAAAGTTCTATGGATTGGATCACATGATATGATCATGGCTTGGATTGATGTTCCCAGTTTCAGACAGATGTAACTGTTGCTATAGCCATTCTCTTCCTCTTTGTTCCTCTTCATCTCTCCAGTGTTAATGATTGTGGCTTCTGCTTAAGCTCTCCCCTTGGTAGGGAGGAAATCTATGCCATTGTAATCAAATGAACCCTATTTAATTGATTTCTACTTTAGCTAGAGTTGAGGTCCTCTGTTTGCTTAGCATTTCCTGTCCTCTACCTCCGTTCTGTTCCTTGCATCACTAACCTACTCTTCCTTGCATAGTAAAACTACCTGGGAAAACTTGTTACAGTGCATATTCTAATACTTTTCCCCGTTCATCGCAGGAAAATCAGAAAATAACAATAGAAATGAAGATAATGAAAGTATCCACAAGACTAGGCACTTACTTCTATCTAGTATTAATGTTTGGGGGAGATCTTTCTGTATACTCATGACACATGTTAAGAAATAATTGCCTTTTAAATACAATTTTGGTTGATTTTGAAATCTACATGCTTATAATGTGAAATCATGACATTTTTGAGCTATGTAAATATTCTCACAAAGCGTTTAGAAATGACTCCTTCATCTTTAAACATGTGGAAAATAGCCAACTAGCTAAATGGGCAGTTGTTTCTGATGTTTAGCTTATTCTTTGACATAAGCATCTTTACATTTAAAAATAAAAGGAAAAATACTTTTTAAAAAAATTGGCATCCATAACATACTGTGGCATTTCCTCTCATCCTGAGCTTTCCCGACTTGTTTCTTGATATGTGGTTGCAGAATTACTTTATATTGGGTAGAATACAGACCATAGATTCATAGATTCCATGCTGTCTCATTTCCCCAGCTTTTAGCTTCCACAAGAAGAGACTATGAGAAGATACAAGAGGAGCTGACACGTCTGCAGATTGAAAATGAGGCAGCCAAAGATGAGGTGAAAGAAGTTCTTCAGGCCCTGGAGGAGCTGGCTGTCAATTACGACCAGAAATCACAGGAAGTGGAAGACAAGACGAGAGCCAATGAGCAGCTGACAGATGAGCTGGCCCAGAAAACGGTTGGAGCATTTGTGGCTAGGGGAGGGACTTCATCCCTGTACTCTATATTGATGTTGACTTAGTGCTTATTCTGTGTTAGATGCATTCTCTGAGGCCACTTTGACAGTTGGAATACTGTCCACACATCATGGGACTTTATAGCATAACTGTTTTATATTCTGCCAATTTATAACATCAGCAGAATTTCTTTGTGCAGACTGGAGCCAGAAAAATCCTAAATTAAAAGTTTGACTTCGTAACTCCTAAGCTTTACTCAAGACATTTGAACTTCTTAAATACTCTATTAAAATGTCAATAACATGGTCCTTGCATGGTGTGAGGACCAGTAATGGTTTATGAAAAATATTTAACATAAACCTGTGTATAAGCTACAATATTTATGATCAATGAATAAGCCTCAAAGTGTTGTTACTAATAAGAGTGGAGAACCCACAGGAGGTATGGACTTCATTCTTCATGTTTCCACGATCCTAAGTGAAATCTCCTCCTTCACCCCAGCTTCTTGTCCTACTTCTTACCTTCAGGAGCCCGAGACTCTGCTCTCTCTTGTTTGCTGACCTGTATTAAGCCACTGCTTCAGTCTATACATTGATTTATTTTCAGATTTTTTTCCTTGTGGAAGATGCTGCAGGTTTTCCACGCTGAGCTAGCAGCAGGCTTTGGGCACAGTGGGCCTTTGGTGTAGATGGATGGTGGTAGGCAGTGGGTGGTGGAAAAGCTTGTGGCTCTAACTCACTACCTGTGGTACCTCTGAACAATGGACTGGTGTTATGGAATTGTGGCCAGTGTACCTTTTGGAAAATATTCAGTCCCATGCAAGGAGAAGAGCAGATGGTGAGGAAGGTGCTGATATGCTGGCTTTGGAGCAGAGAGGAAATGCTACTCCTTCTTGCACTCTGTTGAAAGGAGAAAGACCTTCCTGATGGCTTCCCAACATGGTGGCCTCCACTTCTGTAGCTTTTAAAAACAAAGTTCAGAAAGCAGTGACAGTGCCACACAAAACAAACCCCTCTCGAAAGTCACTTTGCAGAGAAGAACCCTTAGATTTTCCCTGTTTAGTGTTTCTCTCTTAACTAGTCTTTGGTACTAGTTTGTCACAAGTTCTGTAACCTTAAACGGGGCGCTGGTGGCTCACGCCTGTAATCCTAGCTACTCAGGAGGCTGAGATCTGAGGATCATGGTTCCAAGCCAGCCTGGGATAAAAGGCCCATGAGGCTCTTATCTCCAATAAAGTAGTCAAAGGAAACTGGAAGTGGAGTTGTGGTTCAAGTGGTAGAGCACTAGCTTTAAGCACAAAGAGACTCAGGGACAGCGTCCAGGCCCAGAATTCAAGCCTCAGGACCAGAAAAAAAAAATACAGTTCTTATTTCAGTCAAAACCAAGTATTATTCGAATCCTCTTTTTAGTCAGATGATTAAAAATACTCTAGTAAAACAGCTATTCATGGGAAAATTATATAAAGGTCTCTGAATTAACCTCCACAGTTTTAGGAGTAGGGGGATTTCTTCTTTGATTTTGAATTAATACTATGACACCAGAAGATAGTTGTTTATATGCAGTGTTAGTTACTCGGGAGGCAGAGGTAAGATATTGTGTTCTTTACCTGGTTTAGGCAAAAGTGGGAGACCTACTGGAAAAATAATGAAAGCAAAACAGATGGAGTTATGGATCAAATAATAGAGCACCTGAGTTCACTCTACTACTGCCAAAAAAACAAAATAACAACAGCAAAAGAAACCCTAAACAAACAAAAAACACCTTTTAGTAACATGTGGAAGATGGAGAATAGATGCCTTTTTAGTTTGGTAAGAGAATAGAATTTTTGGTATATAGTAAGGAGTCACCTATTGTTGAACTTACATAATCTGAAAAAGATGTTCAGTGTTTAATTCAGCTTCTCTGCAAAGATTAGAAGTCTTTCTAAGTTGTTTTTTAAATACATTAATGCTCCTCTGGACCATGTTTTTCAGACCCAGCTATTATTGTGAAGTAGGTGTGAATTTGGAAGTGGCCCAAGGATTGAGTTTGCTTGAGTGGAGGTGGACTGGCTAGTAGGCAGTTCAGGCCTTGAACTAAAGGAGGTGCATCTAGGGGTAGGAAGATATGACTAAATGTTATAACCTCAGGGACCCCAGTTTTTGTTTTCTTTTTAATAATGTCACTGACTTGGAAGTTGGCAGCTGAGTTGTAAACATGTAACATATTATGCTGTACAATTTAATTTGTAGATATGAAGTCCCTCTTCTTTTTATTAGACAATGCAATCTTATACTCCACTTTGCCTTAAAAGTCCTTCTAGTTGAAATCACAAGAAATGATACAACTCCATCCCACATGAAGCCGGTACTCTTTGCAATGCTGCATGTACGACATTGATTTGTAATCCTTTTTAATGTGTGGTTGAAATTTGTTTTTCAGACGACATTAACAACCACACAGAGAGAGCTGAGCCAGCTACAAGAGCTTAGCAACCACCAGAAGAAGAGGGCGACTGAAATCCTAAACTTGCTGTTGAAAGATCTGGGGGAGATAGGTGGGATTATTGGCACCAATGATGTGAAGACTGTAAGCCACCGTTTTTTCATCTCTGTACTCATTCTTATTGTGGTATGATTCTAAGTTAGCAAGCTCTGCTTTTAATCTGTTCTCAGCCTCCCATGCTTAGCAATGTGCTGTGCCTCTGCCTGGTGCTAGGAAATATTTGAATCAGTGAAAAAAAAGGGCTGGCAGAATGCAGGGTAATTGTCAGGGTGAGGAGAGGAAAAAAAAATCTGCCTTTCAGATCTTGAGAATGTCTTCAAATCTTGGTTGGCTGTGTATAGATTGGTTTAGACTTGCCAGTGTCATAGAAGTTTGCGTTTGGATAGCCGGAGCAACAGTTCTAGGCTCAGAAATGTTTTCCATTTTCTATAAAAAACCAATTCAGTGAGACTTCCCCAGTCAGGCTGTAGAATAAGATTTTGACAGCAACTGAAGACATAAAACCACATTTAATCTTCTACAGCCTAAGAAGTTGGAATCTTGTTAGTCTGATGTGCATTACCTGGGAGTTTATTGGCAATACCAGCTCTGAGGCTGTATCTTAGATGGATTGATCACTGTCATCTTCACAAGATTCCCCAGGGTGATTCTCATGCTGGTGAACGTTTAGGTAGAGAATGCAAGAGACCTGGCCTTTCTTTCTTTTTCCTTTCTGTTAGCTTCAGCCTATTTTTATTTTCGTTTCATTGGGATTTGGCCTCCTGGTAGCAAAATAGCTACTGTTATCACAAACCATCACATCTCGAAGCAACCACACCCAAAGCGGAATGGGCTGAAGAAGCCGACTATTATCCAGGAGAGCAGTACATCTCCGGAGTCTCTAGGGTACATCTCCTACATTACATGATTGGCCTGCAGTGGGTCACATCACTGCTTCAAACGACAAGAAAAGCTGGGAAAGCAAAGGAGAATAGGATTAATTATAATTGGCATAAGCCAATCATGATCAATGCCTGATAAATAATACACACTGATGCTCCTGAAAACAAGGGGGGGGGGGATGGGGGGGGGAATAAAGCTGATCTGAAGATGAGAATAGAGAGCAAAGAGAAGGAAAATGTTAGCAACTAATCATTTGATAATTGGTCACAATATAGAGATACTGTTGCCATTAACTTGTTAAATATGTTAGGGACTTTTTTAAACCAGCTTTATTGAGGTAGAAATTATATATATACATATACATACATATATATATATATATATATATATATATTAAATGTACTATACTCAGTGTGCAGTTTGAGAAGTTTTGATTTGTGTACATCATGAAACCATCTCCACCCTAAGACAATGAACGCAGGCACCGTCGGCCTTCAGTGCATGCAGGACTGCTTTTGGTTACTATCTCTGTGATCAGAACTGTCTGCCAATACCACAATGTTTTGATGACCATAGCTCTATAATAGTGCAGTACTTCCTACAGAGTAGTCATTGGTAAATGTGTGTTGACTTAATGGAGCCAGGGAATTATATTACATTGTTTTATTTCTATCTCATGAATCCCCCAAACTGAATTTTTTTAGTTTGGCCATTTTACCTTTAAAAGGCTGAATTGTATATTCATCTGTTTCGTGGGAACACCCAGGCTGTGAGGTGGGATTGCTAAATGCAGGAAAAGGCTTCCAAGATTAGGCAGGCTTCCATTTATAGACTCTTACGTCTGGGCCACAGAGAGCTACCCTGGAATGGTATCAACCAATCTAGGAGTTCTTGTAAACATAATTATTTGTTCATGAAACCTCTGTAGTAACTGAATATTTCATGAATCTTTGTGAATGAAATCATTTTTAGCACAGATTTCTCTGGTATTATAGGGTTAAGCCTGTTAAGTTCCAGTTTGGTGATTTTATATTTGAGGATTTAATTTTTCGAGCCATATGCTGGTGTTGAGCAATAAAATCCCAACATCGGGTTGATTAAATGGCCCTCACAATGTGAAGGTGGAGTTGATTTATGGAAGTTGGCGCCTGCTCCTGATAATGGTGAGGGAAGGTATTTTTATGCTAAGTTCTAAAATAGAGCTGATGAAAATGCTAATGAAATCAGAGTGTCTTAGTGCCTTTGCCTCAAAAGGCATCCCTACCTTTGGGAATCTGGAGTATGATTGAGATTATTTTTAAGTACGCAATTGGATGCCTCTGAGATTATTTTTGGATTCCAGACATTGGCTGTTCTACTTAATTTCATTGATAACCCTGTTCATAATCATTCTCTTCTCCCTCCCCCTCCCCACCCCCACTTAGGATTTAATCCTCAGAGCAGTGGGAGCTTAATGAAAATCTATGTATCTTTGGACTGTATGTTCCTAATTTGTAAAATGAAAAGAATGAATCCAGATAATCTCACTTGTTAGGTTGGAAATAATGTGACTTCTGTACCTATTAGGTTCATCATGATAGCTACAGCTACTTTTCTTAATGGCTATGACTATCCATTGATATGGTAGTTATTTTGATATAAGAAAATGAACAGATGAATAAGGTCTGTTTAGTGATCTTGAAGTTTCGTTTCTAAAATTCTATTCAGTTCTCACATGTCTCTCCTGGTCCACAGTTCCAGAATATAGCATACTTGCACAGCCAGGAAACCAAAAAATACATACTTCCTGAGCTCAGTCTTGTCTTGGAACCTTTCCAGAGTCCAGACAGTGTTTTGTCTAATAATCAGAACAAGATAACTCAGCAGACACAAGATAGATGAGTCCAGTGTTAACTTTATTAAGGTGCCATCCCTTTTCATTTCATTTATCAGGATCCCTAGGCATGCTTTAGAACAAAGATGTTCAAGAGTCTGAACACAAACCCAACAGGGTTGAGATAATATCTGCAATTATTATGTTTCAATTCAAAAGAATAATAAATTAAAAAATACAGTTGAGGCAGAGTATATGAAATGTATTGACTTGGCTATCTACTTTTATTTTGCCCCTCGGGACTTCCTTTCATCCTACTCTGACTTTTAAGACTTTTACAATAGCCATTCTTTTTGGAATAACTGTCCTGGAAACTGTTGAACATAAAATGTCAAAATATATGAGTTGCAGGGGCAAGAATTGTCACAGTTAAGGAAACATTTGTTTGGGGTGTTGATTATTTTTTTCCCATCAAGCACAGGCTTAAAATCTTTTACATCTCTCAGGGCAAAAGTTGGCTTAGAGTTTGGAGGAAGAACTGCTTAGCTCTCACTTTGTAGGGAGCCCAGACAGACCAGACACAAACATACACAATTACTCTTTCACAACTTGCTTGGGTCTGGGCACAGAAGATGATGGAGAAAACAGTTCTGCCATGTTCCTGAGCTATTGGCCCTGTAGTGTTTTCCCACTCGGAGCTGTGAGTTCCACATGAAAGACATGGATATTCTTTACTTATTTTCTTTCTTCTTTTCTCCTTTCCTTTTTCCTCTCTTCTCTTTTCGTCCTCCCTTCCCCCCTTTTTTTTCTATTCTGACCTTGAACTTGAGATCCTCTGTCTCAGCTTTCCAAGCGCTGGGACTACAGACTTCACTACCCTGGTCAGATGATGTTCTTTATCTTTCTTTAGATATATGGGACAGACTTCGTCAGACTTAGGAAGATACTTTCTTACTCTATTTCATTCTGGGCCTGTTGGCAGAACAAAAGTGAATGTAAATGCTTGCAGACTTCTCTCAACCAGTGTCTCCGTGCCACTGAATTTATAAAAAGAATGTAATGATAGTCCATGTTGGTAGGTAAAGCTTTAGCACTCAGAAATACAACTACCTTAGCAGGCATCCCTAAGGATAGAGTTATGTGACACTTGTAGATTTTCTAGTTGTTAACTTAGGCTTTGCTTTGTTCTGATTGCTGTTGGAGTCATTATTAATAAATACTGCTGAATTATTGTAAGAGGATCAACGCTACATTTATTATGTTAAAGTACTTGGCACTGTCAAGTATACTTCAAACTTGCTACCGGTTTTCAGGAATGATACTTGATTTCATTTTTCTCAGCTCTCAAAAGTCTATTGAACAAAAATGGCTACGTGAGTTAATGACAGCAGTAATGAGACAGGTGGGCAGTGCAACTATACTGTGGACTGTTGAAAGCCATAGAGTCATTGTCTTGAATCTACGGAAAACAGGTGTTTATGGCTACATTCTAAACAGGCTTCTTGTTTTCTTATGCGGTGTTAGGCTGCCCTCTGCTGGCTAAATGTAGTATACATACATGGCTTCTTATTTGGTCCATTGCTTGTCTGGACCATATTTGCATCTTAGCATAATGAGTTTCCTTCCCAAATATTTGGCATCGGTTTTTGTGACCACTGGAACTATAAATTGTAAAACCAAATATATATTATGCAGGAATTCTGACTGTCAGGATCTTCCTCTTCTAAAGGTCAGTTTGGATTGTTGATTTCAGGTCTTAAATCATGCTTGGAAAGAAATGCAAAGGCAAGGAAACAATGGATTTGAAAGGAAGGATACATTCATATGCATTAGATTAGTATTTCTTCTTTCACTTACTGCATATAGAAACATTCAAGGCATAAGATTGCTTTTCTATCTGAGTTAGCATACTAGAGAATGTAATTGAAGTTTTGATTTGTTTTTATAGAGATTAAGAGTCACCCATAGTATTATTTGGCCTTGTTATTATAGAGGCAAAGGGTTTAAGATAATGATTGTTTCTGAAGTTGTTTCCTTTAAAAAATTCTTCACTATATTTTCCCCCCATGTCCTGTTCCCTCCCCCACCCCAAAAAAAAACAATTGCAATGAGAAGCCTAGTTTAATTGATGATTAAATTGGGTAAAGTTTTATAATTGGAAGTTTCGCCTTCACCTGTGTTTTCAGAGAACTTGGGGTCAAGTCCATCATACTTTTCATAGGTCCAATGATGAGATTCTTAACTTGAAATCTTGGATATCTGGAGGCTCTGCAGTCAGGCTTCAGAGGCTCTGTGAAGCTCTGGAAATTGTAGGTGACAGATGTGTGTTCCCTCTTGTGCTCAGTTGGCAGATGTGAATGGAGTCATTGAGGAGGAGTTCACCATGGCCCGTCTGTACATCAGCAAGATGAAGTCAGAGGTCAAGTCCTTGGTGAACCGCAGCAAGCAGCTCGAGAGTGCCCAGATGGATTCCAACAGGAAGATGAACGCCAGTGAGCGGGAGCTGGCAGCATGCCAGCTGCTCATCTCCCAGGTGGGTCACCTTTCCCTCCTCACTCACACTGTGTTCTCTTGAGTTCTGCTTCCTCTGTGAGCCCTTACTGGTACTGCAGGAGTAGTTTATGCATTTTTATTGCCTCCTGAAGCATAGACTAGGATTGTTCCTTTGCTGTTTTTATTTTGAGACAAGGTGTTACTGTGTAGCCCACACTAGCCTAGAACTTATCACCTTCCTGCCTCGGCCCTCTGGCATTATAGAGTTGTGCTACCGTGCCTGAGTTGCCCAGATTTATTCTTAAGGCAATATTATGCTAGGTGAATGCTAGAAATTTTTCTAGGTCCCTTCTTTGTCTTCTTTTTTTAAAAATAGGATGTGGCTATATATCTCTATTTACATTGGGTAGAATCTCCAAAATACTTTATCATCTATGCTAACGTACCTTCATATTTAATCTCTACCACAAGTACAATTTAAGATGGGAAAATAGAAACCATTGCTGCTGCTGCTGCTACCATTACTAATAGTAGCAGCAGGTAATACTTTATTGAGTGCTTGCCATGTACCATACACTGTGTTAAACACTTTATATGCATTTTCTCACTTGGTCCTAAATAGACCCTGGCAAGCATGTTTTATTTTTGTTTCTCTTTGCCAGATTAGGAAACTGAAACTGAGGTTAAATATTTGTTCAGATACATACAGTCAATGAGTGGTGATAGAGCTGAGACATAGACCAAAGTCAGGATGAGCCCAAAGCCCATGTCTCCATGGGACTTTCAAGCCCAAGAGAAGGTTTCATGTCAGCAAAGCTACTCACTCTTCTTCCCAAGGGAATGGCAGTTTTATTTCACTAAGATAGTTTCAGTAGACAGGCACCCCATTTCTTGGGTGGTTATTGATACCTGAGCTTGCTGCATAAGTTTGAGGTTTTTTTGTGAGTGTTCTAATTGAGTGCTGTTCACTGCCTTATGCCAGACATGAAAAGCAGCTTAAGTTGCTTGGAGAAAACAGATACCAGCATGGATTGGGGTGTCAAACAATACAAGAGACAGACAAAAACGTATTTCCTTCAATCATGCCTTTAAGCACAGTAATAAGTAATCATGGAAACATCTCCAATCTGATTGTCTAACATGGATCCAGCAGGTTCCATTTTATATTTAACATAATAAACAAGAATGTATCGAAGGGACTGTTCACTACTGGGTTGTGACAGTGAAGTTGATAAACCTGTATGGTTGCTAAAAACATAGTTGGCTCAACCCTTTTGGAAAAATTGCAAATACAAAACCATAGACATATAAGCATGTTGTGGTCCAATTATTTCTCTCATTCTATTCTCTTCATACTGTCCTTTTATTGGTAATGAGATGGAAATTTTTATATGTCAGTTAAAAATGTTAAAAGCTGAGTTCAAATCCCATGGCTAACAACAAAAAAAGAAAAAAATGTTAAAAGCTTTGGCATAATATGTTGACTAGTATTACTTTACATTAAAATCAAATAAATTACCCAAATATCTATTGCTAGACTAATGAAAAAGTTTTGTGGAAGAATATTATGCACGTCTTTAAAAATCCATGCTAGCCACTTGGAAAGTATAGTTATATTGAGTTAAGGGAAAATGAAAACACTGAGTTATGTCTGTGCCGTGCTGTATGCCTTGTAAAATGTCCTATAGCTATATAGGGAATATAGGGGCAAGGGTTAGTAAGTTAGAGGGCCTTGTGGATGACATTTATACCACCTTTTCTGAATTTTTATAACTTACTATCTGATCATTATATATTATCATTTATAAGAAGGCATTTTTATAATTTATAAAAGTCTAAAAGGGAAATGATAATCATTAGGAAACAATGTACCTCAAATCCGATTTTTAGATGACCTCTGACACAATAGTGTGAGTCTTGAGCAGTCCCACCCCTAACCATTGGGGGCCAAGGTCAGGATATGAGTGGAAGCCCTGTGGCCTTCAGCCCGGCATCCTCTCTCTCTAACAGGATGCACCAGCTCCTCGACTAAGTCCCTTCTGCAGCTCTGTGAACTGGTGTGTGATCATTGCAAGGGAACTTTGGGCTTTGATGTTGGGGATTGAACTCGAGGCTTTGCATGTATTAGGCAGGTGATCTACCACTGGGCTCTCACCCCAGCCCTCTGGCACACTGTGAGGAAGGCAACCAGCATGGGTATTGATCTCCACACTCTGAATGATAAAGGAGGGACATGGCCATTAGCAGAAGCTGTGGAGAATGAATCAGAGAAGCATGTGGAAGAAAGACAGGACTGTCTTACCTCTCAATTCTAAATCCCAGGCAAAGGGCAGAATATGCACCATTTGGTATTAGTCCTGAGGAAAAGGTGTGATCTGTTGGGTTTTCCTATTGGACTGTCCAAGGCAAGCCTAGGTGACCACTTGCCAGGCATTCACTCTTCCTTCTGATCTGTTTTCTTGTTCAAAGCATGAGGCCAAGATTAAATCTCTGACAGACTACATGCAGAACATGGAGCAGAAGAGGAGGCAGCTGGAAGAGTCCCAGGACTCACTCAGTGAAGAGCTGGCCAAGCTCCGAGCCCAGGGTAAATATTGACTACTTTGCAGGTGTCAAGTGCTTTGTCTAAGTCAGGCAGTCTCAAGTTGGCTGGAGTCCTAATGTTTAGTTTTTGTTCAATTAAAGCACTTTTAAGAGAACAATAGCATAACCGAAACAGATAAGAGAAAAAAATGGAGAAAACTTAGGTAGTTCTCCTCTCCACAGTGAGTCTACCTATATTTCCATTTTCTCTTGGTCTACCTTGCTGCCCAGGCCAGAATCCTCCCCTCCAGCCAACCAACTGCCCAGTGCTCTCTGGTCTCTATACAGGGAAATAAAGATTGTAGCTATGTCCATCTGCAAAGGGCTTCACTCTCAGCTACTGTGCTGCATCCTGAGGGATGACTTTAAAATTGAAATCGATCTTGTGCTAGAACTCATGTATCTCTCCTTACCTTGCAGTTCTGCTGCTTTTAAAAGAATGTTTGATTTCCCATCCTAGTCTACCTGCTTGAAACAAACTTTTCCCTTTGACAAGTAGTACCAGAAATGTAGGGAAAACTTTATAAATAAATACAAGTGGAAACTCATAAACTAGAATAGAAATCCATAAACTAGAACAGAATTAAGAAAGTGCATCATAGTCAGGTACCTCTGTAATCCTAGCTACTCAGGAGGCTGAGATTTGAAGATCGCTGTCATGAGACTCTATCTCCAAGTAACCATAAAAAAAAAATGGAAGTGGTGCTATGGCTCAAACTGGTAGAGTTTTAGTAGTAGAGTGATAGAGTGCTGAGGCCCTGAGTTCAACCAACAAAAGCAACATCAACAAAAAAGAAAGTGAATTGTGCAATGTGAGACTAAACACACTTTGCAGGTTGCAATGAAAAATTATTTGCCACTAAGGGTTGGTTGCTCAGACCTGTAATTCTAGGTACTAAGGAGGCTGAGATCTGAGATCTGAAGCCAACCTAGGAAGGAAGTTTGTGAGATTCTCATCAACAATTAGCCCGCCACCCCTCCCCCCCACCAAAAAAAAGCAAAAAGCTGAAAGTGGAGCTGTAACTAAAGTGGTCTAGATCCTAAGTTCAAGCCCCAATACTGGTACACACACACACACACACACACACACACACTGACAATTATTACCCTTTTTGGAAAGAAATCTGAATAACTATACCACTTTTATACCATCTTACCCTCAAATACTCATTTTAGATAAAAGATAAACCACATGGCCTGGTGCTGGTGACTCACACCTGTAATAATAGCTATCCATGAGTCTGAGATCTGAGGATCCTGGTTTGAACTCTGTCTGGGCAGAAAAGTTTTTGGACTCTAATTAACCAGCAAAATGCCAGAACAGGAAGTATGAGTGAGAAGCTCAAGAGGTAGAGTGCCAGCCTTGAGTAGAAAAAGCCAAGTGTGTGTGTGCCAGTGCATGTGCACACACACACACACACAACCACAAAGAATAGAAAAGCAAACCATTTTAATAGTTAAATAACCCCTGCAAAAGAACTTTTTTTTCCACAGAGGAGATGAAAGTAATGAAAGTGTGGAGAAAGACTCATGATACAATGTTGGTGATGATTGCAACGAAGAATTGTATATTTATTGTGGTTATAACTATTATAATAAGTAGATTATTCCATCCTTAAAAATTACTATTTAAAATCAAAAATGATTTTGATAGTGTGTTAGGACAGTCAACGAGGTTATCTTTTTTCATTCCCTTTGTGATTTTACCATTATTTGTGCAGTAAATATATGTTGTTTCAAAAGCAAAGACAAACTAAAAGAGAGCATACTCCCTTTATAGTAACTTGGTACCATTTTCATTATGTGGGAAAGAATAGAGTGTACCACCAAAATCTGGCCCTGGGAAATAGCTTTTTTAAAAATGTTTTTATTGTGAAAATATTGTACAGAGGGGTTACAGTTACATGAGCAAGGTAATAAGTATATTTCTTATCCAGCATTGTTGCCTCCTCTTTTGTTTTCTCCCTACCATCCCTTCCCTCCCACCTCCTCAACTACATCCCCCCCCCACACACCTAAATTGTAAAGTTTGTTTTTCAACATAGCATCTTGAACATCTCACTGTTGCAATGGGTCCACCTGTATCCCTATTTAAACATTTTGTTTTTTAGGAAATCGTTTTTTTCCCTCTTGTACATGGTTCCTGCAGTAATGGCACCGCCACCTGCAGTGAGGCCACTGAATAGAAATAAAACAGACTTGAAAGGAAGTGGAACTGGCCAGAGAGGAATCATCAATTAAATGTCACTGATTTGAACCTGCTTACTCCCCCCCCCCCCCCCCTCCTCAACTCAGGCTGCCTATACCACACACTCATGACCATTCCTGAGACAGGACTGCGGGCACCTGCCAGCCCTGCTCCACACGGGCCCCCTGGTGGACCTGGTATTTCCCTTGTTCTCATCCTTAGATTGTGGTCCTGCTCCAGATTCTTAGAAAATAAACAGCTTACCCCTTACCCATACCCATAGGAGATAAATGAGCACTTTCTAGAACTCTCCCAGGTGCATGAGCCCAAACACTACCTTGCATTCACAGGGTGCCTTTTGATCTGCAAGGCATTGCTTACGTCATGTCCTCACAAAGGACAGGTGGGAAATAAGTTCCTAAGGTGTCAGGTGATTAGCGCCTGGACGAGGACTTGGAGTGGGTGGGCTGTCTCCACCTAGCACGGTCTCCCTGCTAGCACGGTCTCAGGGCTGTGGTCCAGATGACCCTTGGAGGCCCTTTTCTTCATGTTGTGGTTGTCATTGGTGTTATCAGCTGATGTCTCTCCCTATTATCGTTTTTTTTCTTGCCTGTTTTTTTTCTTTCAGTTTTTTTGGGAGGAGGGGGAAAAGGGGTGAGTCCTACCAGCTAAATCATAAATCATCATTTATAATTCAAAACAGAAAAAATGCACGAAGTCAGTTTCCAGGATAAGGAAAAGGAACATCTCACGCGGCTGCAGGATGCCGAGGAAATGAAGGTGTGTATTTAATCACTCCTTCCTCCAAGTCCAGCACGTGTTCAATGCATTGAAATCCGCCTTTAAAACAATCTGCCTTCTACAAGATTTGTGTATGGCAGTGTAGGGAGAGGAAGATAGGAGAGACCACTGCTAGGCTTCAGAGCAGATCTCAAAGTGTGGCTGGGCATAGACATAAAATGAAGAGAGGACTGTACAGGATGTCACAGCTAATGGCACCTTTCCCAGTCTTGATGAAGAGGAAGAGTAACACCTCTAATCACCGCCCAAGCCAGTGATTACACATAGCTGCATTCTCAGGAGAGGTTTAACTTTGGTGGAAATGTTTTCTCTTCCTGGAATTGGAAGAAACCTTTTTCCTTCACTCTGTGAACAAGGAACAGTTCATATTTGAGTTTCTACTTTAAACGCACAGATATTTGTTGCTTACAAATAGACAGTGCAGGAAAAGTGACTTGGAAATAAAATGTGTAGGGGAATAGCATGAGCTGTATGCAAAGACTAGGGGCTGGAAGCTGGTGGCTCATGCCTGCAATCCTAGCTGCTCAGGAGGCTGAGATCTAAGGATTACATGAAAAAACAGCCTGGGCAAGAAAGTCCATGAACTCTTACCTCCAGTTAGCCACCAGAAAGACTGGAAGTGGACTGTGGCTCAAAGTGATAGAGCTTAGAGACAGCGTCTAGACCCTGAGTTCAAGCCCTATGATTGACAGAAAAAGAGACAAGGGATTTGTATTCACTTTTGTTAGATTGTGACCCTCATTTGGCAAAATCCGCACAGTTAAAGCTTGACCCACATGTGCCTTTGTTCTAGCCAACAGAACGCACAGGTCCTCTCATTTCAGAGTACTTAGAAAGTCATCTCGCATCTGCAGTGGGCAGGGTAGGAGCGTATGTCAATTGAAAAGATGAGAAAGTGAGGTCACATAGATTATGCATCTGTGTGAGGTCACTCGGATAGTAAGAGGCGCATCTCTGCGAGGTGACCAGTCACAGACTAACTTTCTATTTAATCGGTAAACTGATTTGTTCCTAGGGACCAAGTTGATTTTAGAACAGATTCTCAGGTTTCATTGTGCCAGTAAGGCAGGCCTGGGTGCTGGGGCATGAGAGCCAGAAACACCCTTAATTTGGGGATCTGACATCTGAGGGAGGTAGGCCTGGATCCAGGGCTTGTCACTGAGTGGGCTGGGTGCCAACGAGTGGATGACACATTTCTCCTGGCCTGGCTCACAGAAGGCACTAGAGCAACAGATGGAGAGTCACCGGGAAGCTCACCAGAAGCAGCTGTCCAGACTTCGAGACGAAATTGAAGAGAAGCAGAAAATCATTGATGAGATTCGGGAGTAAGTTGGCTGGGGGCTTGTGGGAAATGGGGGTGGACATGGCTCAGTCTTCTTGGGCCAGTCTGGAAGGATGTGGCTTTTAGCCAAGGGCCCTTGTCTCCTCGTCCCATAGGCTCTAGAGCGCTCTCCACCCTGGTGAGCTGAGGGCTGGGCATGCTGCTTCTGAGTTCTGTTCTCCCATCTGGAGCCTGGCCTCCTGGAGCTCTAATGCTGCAGGTGGCAGCCAAGCCCAGCTGCCCTTCCTCAACACCCCTCCCTCCTCATCCTGGGGCAAGCTCACTCCACGGGTGACTCAGCTGGGCAGACAGGTGCCCCAGGAGTGGGGAGATGGTCTGTATGCAAGTATAAGAGAAAAAAAAAATTCCTACGTTGGGCTATCAGATCTGACCCTATCAGGAGTTCTAATAGGTTAATAAGCGCTCTGGAGAAGGTAGTTGCCACCTGGCATTGTCTCCCCAGCCCAGTTGCTCCCTGTACAACTACACAAGTGTCCTCAGGGACCCATGCTGTCATAGTTCTCTGTTTGTGAAGATGTTGGCAGCCTGTGGCACTGCTGCCAGGGCTGCTGCTGTTGCAGTTTAACTCAGAGCTGTTGGGGAGCCCCTGCTTCTTCCTCACGGCCCCCTCATTGACAACACAAAAGCTTCCTTTCTGGTCTTCTCCTGTGGGTGCTTCATGTTTTTGCATAATGGATCCCTTGACACTCTGAACAGAAAAATATTTTTAAGTGCTCTGGCGTGAGGTGGGGGGGTGGCATAGGAGAAAACAACAGAGTTTGTTACAGAGAAGCCCATTCAATTGCAATGTAGTTTCTATCCATTATGCTCAAATTGAGTACCCCCCCCCCCCCGCTCCCCCACTAAACCAGAGTTCCTACCCCTTTCATTTCTATCGAAGATGAAGAAGCAGATTTCTATATGGGAAGTAAAGTTATTTACTTAGGGTCACATTGCTAAAGAGGAATTAGACTAGAGTTAAGAGCTTAATTCTCTGGACTACTGATCCGAATCTCTTCTCAAAGTAAGTGAGCTGCTCCCACGGTGCATTTGCATTTTAAGAGGAGAGCCATGTGGCAGGATGGGCTCCTTGCACCTAAGAAAAGCATTTACCATCTTCTGGACCCTTCTTCTGGACCCTCCCCCGTGCTATCACTGGCTTTGTGCTTCTCTCCTGGTCACTATTCTACTCAGCCACACTCAGAAGATTCAGATGTCGGAGCCAGGAAGAAGGATGGAAGGAAGGAGAGAAAGGGAGGGTTTGTGAGACAGTTGGTGGTGGAGTCGCATCTTCGGAGCTTGGGCCTTTCCAGTAGATTCCCGGCTTTCATTCATGTAACATACACATTGGTCCTTATAGTCATTTAGGCATGGGTATGCAAAAGACTTTATAAATACTGATATAAATGTTGACCAAATGCCCCAGATGATGAGTTTCTGTTTGTAACGAAGCCAGGACTCTCTACTCTTCCTAATTCCTTTCTCTGAATGCCTCCAGGAAGTGGGAACTGTCCCTGTGTGAGCTAGGCCTTTGGACCTGGGAGATAGCTTCTCAACATCTTAACTACAGAGGAAGGGATGGCCAAATAAGGTTACCTGAGTAAGAGCCTGCCCCACTCTGCTGAGGAGGCAGAATTTCTCAAAGGGGGCTGACTGTTTTAAAACATCAGCCCTTTTCTAAGGTCATTATTTTCCCCTGAAGCTCTTGCACAAAAGCAACCTATAAATACATCCTCAAAGCCTTTGCTTCATGCATCTTAGATGCTTCCCAGAAATTAGTTTTCTCCTGGGCAGGGAAGAAGCTGTGAGGTTGTTCTCTGATCCTTCAGAATCCTCCAGAATTGCTGCTTTTATTGCACAGAACTAATGGGGCTGGAAGAGAACCATGGTTTTAGGTGGATGACTCAGAATTTCAGGCTGATTTGGAATATATTGCTTTTTCCTCTCAATTTCAGTTTGAATCAGAAGCTGCAACTGGAACAGGAGAAGCTGAGTTCTGATTATAACAAGCTGAAAATAGAGGACCAAGAGAGAGAAATGAAGCTGGAAAAGCTCTTGTGAGTGCACTTGAAATATTTCCTGATTCCTCTCACCACTGGGAAGTCTTTGAAAACCCTGCTTTTGTTCATTCCTAGATATTCTGGTTAGATTAGGTTTATTTCAAAGCAGACCATGGCTATTTGTGTGCTTGTGAGTTTGCTTTGTTGATTTATCCATAAGCGCAAATAGTGTCTGCCTAGTTCTAATTCCCTGATGGTGGCTTACGATTCCATTTATTTTTTTCTCAGATTGCTCAATGATAAAAGGGAACAAGCAAGAGAGGATCTTAAGGGGCTGGAGGAGACAGTGGTGAGTCGAGACATTTTTCCAACTCATTTCATCTGTTGAAGTGTTTATTCTACACATGTTATCAGTATGTTCCGTCTCCTGGCCTTGTGCTTGCTAGACAGGTGCTCTATCACTTTTTTGAGATAGGGTCTCCAGCTAACTGCCCATCTATCTACCGCTACCTCCTGCGTGGCTGAGATGACAGGCCTGAAACACCTTGCCCAGCTTCCTGGGTACCTTTTTTTTTTGGCTGGTCATGGGGCCTGAACTCTGGGCCTGGGCTCTGTCCCTCAGCTCTTCAGCTTAAGGCTAGCACTCTACCTCTTGGGCCACAGTGCCACTTCTGGTTTTCTGAGTGTTTTATTGGAGATAAGAGCCTCATGGACTTTTATGCCCAGGCTGGCTTTGAACCATGATCCTCAGATCTCAGCCTCCTGAATAGCTAGGATTACAGGCATGAGCTACCAGCACCTGGCCTATGTACCTTTCTTAGGTACCATTTTAGATAGAAAATATCCTATGCAGAATAGGATTTCTAGAATTACTCCTGACAGAATCAGTCAATCATCAGTCCTTAGTGATGGTGTCCTAGAGACCCTAAGTAAGAATTGAGCCTAGTTGCAAATCATTGCCTGAAGTTCTATAGACTCTGCACTTCAGTTTGTTTTCATTCAACTGTTGCCATATTTTCTTAGTACCTACTAAAGGCCAGAATTCTTAGAAGAATATGCTTACATACAGGCAATTCAACAATGCAGATAAGATCACTGCCTCTGTGAAACTTACCTGTAGCTGAGAGGCACAGTAAACAATAAGGAGGGAAATCTATGGTTGTCCTCTCCGAAGTCAACATACTCCAACAATAAAACTACAGTGACAAGAATTAGAGAGAGGGATCATACTGGCATAAGTTTTATTATACAATATTATAATTGTTCTATTTTATTATTGTTGTTGTCCTCTTGTACCTAATTTATAAAGTAAACTTTATCCTAGATATGTACGCATAAGGGGAAAAAGTTATGTATAAGGTTTGCTACTATCTGTGGTTCTAGGCACCTAGTAGGGGTTTGGGAATGTTTCCCTCATAGCTAGGAGGGGGCTATTATTAGATCGTTATAGAAAGCTTGGAGGTGGTGGTTAGAAAAGGACCATGAGGAGGTGATATTTGAGCAGGGATTTGTAGTAGGCGAAGAAGTGTGTGGTGGGAGTATCTCAGAGGTGAGCATTCTAAGCAGAGGCAATGGCTTGTAACCAGGCCCTGAGGTAGGCTGATGCCTGGCATATTGGAGCCCAGCAGAGAGGTTGTTTGTGGTTCTAGCTGAATGAAAGAGAGGTAGAAGGTAGGCATAAAATAGATACAGACCTGCAAAGGACTTGATCCATGCAGGGTTTAGACAGAGAGAGGAGTGGCAGACCTTGGCATGTCTCTGGAAGGCTCTGTATTTGAAATCCTCGTTGGTGTCCTCCATCCTGACTGGATTCATTGGCCTCACCCTCTCTGCCAGCTCTTGTTTCAGCTGCTTTCTGTATGGCTGCCTGGTTCTCAGGGTCCATGAGCCCTTCACTGTGAACATTGGTCATGCCACACAGTGGAGGTTTAATGCATGCCATTCTCCCATGGGTGGGATTTGGTAACAGCATTTGTATTTGTGGGTCCCCAACAACCTGAGACCCCAAGCTGTGGGCATGACTCCCGAAGCCTGTGTACGGACTCCTGGGCTAGTTAGTATTTGTTGCTCTATAGAGCCAGGTTTAGGAAAGAGGACACAGCCCTTGAGGTCAGAGGTCAGATAGAGGGCTGATAGGAAGGTGGGCCCCTCCAGGGGGAAGGCTATGGGAGAAGGCAGCTGTGGAGACCCCAAAACGAAGCCATAACATTACTGCATCTACGTGTTTTACCAGAGAAGTGTGATACCCCTAATTGTAGCTAATTATAGAAATTCAGTAAAATATTGAACATTAAATTTTTACTGTATTCTCGGCAGCCAGAGCTGAGTGATATTTCCGGATGTTTTCTTCTTGTATCCCCACAATCCTCATGTACCCCCTCACCCGCCACCCACACCCTGCAATTGCTCTACCTCCCTCTGTCTCCCTCACACCCATAGCTCAACCCTGCCTCACACACCACACGTGTGTCCCACACTCAGGCTCCCATCTGTGATCACCCATCCACTGTCGTCCACACACAGGTGTTCAGACGATCACACACAGCTCACACCTCCTTGTATCACTGTACATCTACACGCTCATCATCATACTTCCTCGTTTACACAAGTTACTTGGGGTGTACTTTGTGCTCAGACCCTTGCCCATTTCTACACTCCCTTGCATGTCATTTGCATGCTCACTCAGTATGCTTCCCTGACACACCTGCATGTGATCACCATGACACACTCACACAGGTCAGTCGCACACTCATTCCCACCTGTGCTCACCTGTGCCCAAACCCAGGCTCAGGCGCATGCTTCCGTACTCACATGCCTCTCCCACTCTGATCCTCACCAGCTCCTTTGCCTTTTTCAATGCTTGGATGACTTGGATTTATTTTCATCACTAGATTCCTCTGTCTGATCATATGGTGTTCTGCCTTCCCCGGCACTAACTGGTCACACACATGTCCATCTCACACCCAATGACTGGTCCACTGACTTGTGGCTCCTCATCCTCTCTCTTCCTTAACACCCACATGTGCCACACACAACACACACACACACACACACACACACACACACACACACACACACACAATTTATATTCAAGATTGGCATCTTCCAGTATGTGTGGTGGCTTTGTTTGTTTGTTTGTTTGCCAGTCCTAGGTCTTGAACTCAGGGCCTGGACATTTCCCCTGAGCTTTTTTGTTTTTTGTTTTTGCCTTGAGCCAGGCTCCCTGTCCTACTGGCTTTTTTTTTGCAATTAATTGGAGATAAGATCTCTTGGACTTTCCTGCCCAGGATGGCCTCAAACCACAATCCTCAGATCTTAGCCTCCTCTGTAGCTAAGGATTGTGGGTGTGAACCACTGGTGCCCTGCCTCCTATGTGCTGTTTTAGACTCGGATGCTCTCTCTCAGGCTGTAGACACTGCCCTTGGCTGCCTCTTCTTGAGGTCTCCTGGCACAAGGCCTGCTTTGCCTCTTGAGTGTTGAGGAAGGAAGGGACAGGGCCTGGCACCCATGGGTTAGAGTTTGAGGAGCCAACTGCAGACTGGGCACTTTGGTGGGAAGTATCAACTGGCCATCTATGTGTCCCTGAGCTCTAGGTAGTCACCTTGCTCGTGCAGTGCACTGTGCCATAGGTCATGGTGGGCTGGATCCTGCCTCCAGCCATGCTGACACCTCTCTAGTCCTGTCCTCACTGTCCACTGTCATGGAAGATGAGCCTTGAGCTTTGGCACAAGGATCAGCAGCCTGTGGCAGGAAGAGATCTGAGAGAAGTGAGCCAGGGTGATGAGGAACAGGATAAAGGAAAATCACCACCACAGGAAGCCAAGTGGTAAATGTGCATAAACTGCTTTCGGTGTCTTTGACTGCCCCTCCCAAACTGTTGATAGCTGAGACTACCTAAACACCCGAGAAAGGTGCCAGGCTCGGGACTCTGTATTGAGTAACACTGTATCCCAAGGAAACACCGGTCCCTGGGTGAGGTATCACACCTTCTCATTTCCCTGGTGTGGCTGTGCTTTTCCTGTGAAAATACTGACTGTGATTACAGTTTAGTCAGTAATGAGATCTCTGAGGTGGCAGGCTACTCAGGGCAGTTGCAGGCATTAAGAAGAGCAGGGGAATGATCTCCCAACAGCAGGGGCCAGGGACAGTGTGTCTATATAATTGTGAGCACCAGTCCCCGCCGCCTGCCCGTGCTGAGAAGTAGCTCAGCCAAGGACAGATACCTCATGTTCATTATTCATAATAACAGACTTGCTTGGCTTCCTGCAGAAAGCGATTTGCCTCATTCGAGGATGCAATTGACTTCAGGTGCTTCTTATTTCAACACTAAATTGGACTCCGTAATAAGGCCTTAAATTAACAGAGATTCCTTATTCTCAGTCTCTTAGTGTTTCCGAAGTGTTGTGCCTGTTTCTTCCTTTTTAAGATGAGAGTGTGGGAATTGCATTCCCTACCATTCTGTGGTAGGTCAGTCTAGACAGATTGCAACCCTTGTGTTGGTGAGTGAAATCTGTCCTACTCCCCTTTAGGAAAGTAATGTGGAAGAAACATACATACCTTTTATAATAAATGTGTGATAACTTGAACCCAAGGAAAACTTTTGAACTTCTGGTCTTGTTAGCAAAGACCATTGGGTTTGGTTTAGGCTTTTTGCCTTAGCTATATGATTCATAAAGCTTTATTCATAGAAAACAATTAGAATTGAAGGCAGGGAACCCCACAAAACATTTCTCCAAGAATTTTATTACAATGAAAGAAACAATATAGACCTAATGAAGTCATGGTGCATGGTATTCGATGTGAAACATGAGTAAATTCATATTAATAATGTTTATTGAGCACTTACGATGTGTTAGAAACTATCCTAAGTGTTTTCTAAGGATCCTCTCATTTAGTCTGGACAATTAAAAACCATGCTTTTAATTCACATGTTAAAACAGGTAAACTGAAGCATAGGAAGGTTAGGTAATTGCTCACAATCCTTTGGATAAAAGGCTGAGAATGATTTAAAGCAAGCATGTGGGCTTAGACCAGCATGAAGGCGCGGTTAGGGTGAGAGAAATTACGGCTTTTAATTTTAACTTGTCAGTATTACATATAATGTTAACATGATAAATAAAAAGAAAACAGGGAGCTGCGTTCCATGGCTCATGCCTATAATCCTAGCTACTCACGAGGCACAGATCTGATCATCATGGTTCAAAGCCAGCTTGGGAAGAAAAGTCCATGGGACTCTTTATTTCCAATAAATGACTCAAAAAAAAGCCAGAAGTGGAGCTGTGGCCCAAGTGGTAGAGCAAATGAAGTTCAGGAATAGCACTTGGGCCTTGAGTTCAAGTCCCAGGACCAGCCCAAAAAAAGAAAAAAAAAAAAAAGAATGAAAGTAAAGGAAAGGTAAGTGGAAACCATTTAGAGGCAACATAGCTTACTTGGAAATTTTTGTGAGATAATTTGAACAAACTGGTTCCATCAAGAGTGGCACAGAGACCAGGTAATCCTAGCTCTTCAGGAACCAAGATCAGAGTTCCAAGCCAGTACAGGCAGGAAAAGCGCATGAGACTCTTTCTCTCCAATTAACTACTAACAAGCCAGAAGGAGAGCTGGGGGTCAAGTGGTGAAGTGGCATCCTTGAGCAAACAACTTAAGGGACAGTACCTGCTCTGAATTCACCCCATTGACTGGCACAAAACCAACCAACCAACCAACAAAAAAGCCCTTGCACTGTGAGGTGCTGCTGTGATGTGCTGGGCAAGTCACAGGAGGCACCAACAGAGACAATGCTGGGCTCCAAAAGCAAGTTGGAAAAATCTGGGGCAAATGTGTCCCAAGTTCAGTGTCTTCTCACTGAAGTGGCATTAAAGAAAACCCAATTTTCTTTTCCAGTCTAGAGAGCTGCAGACTCTTCATAACCTCCGCAAGCTCTTTGTCCAGGATCTGACCACCCGAGTGAAAAAGGTGAGTTTCATTGTGTCTGAATGAGTCTGAGAAGAACAGAAGAGACGGCTGAGAGAATCATTTTCAGTTGAAATATTACCTGCTTAAACTGGGGCTGGCAGTACTTAAAAATTAATTACTTCATACCAGAGAATGTTATTAAAAGAATGTGCTAGAGGCAAAATTACTTGGGAACATTCTCCCATCTGATTTTTCCTTCTTAGTAAAAGGAAGCTATAGTGCTTGCTCTGGCCTTTCTTTGCGTTAAGCATATATTTATTTGGCCCCTTCTGAACGCAAACTATCTGCTTGGCACAGAATGGTCTTATCCTCAGGCAGTGTTGGTCTTGCAGCTTGATGTCAGATGGCCAAGGCCATCAGGAGGCTATTAGGGGCTGGGGGCAGAGCTGGTGAAGCGGGTCAGTATCTATTCCTTCTCCCCCCCCCCCCCCTTCCTCCCTGCCTTCCTTCCTTCTTTCCTCTTTTTTTCCTTTTGTGATGTTATCCTGGATTACTTGCTCACAGCTGGCACTCTCCTACTTGAGCCACACCTCTGACCCAGCATTCTGCTAGTTAATTGGAAAAAGAGTCTCCAAGTTTGTTCTGTTCTGGCTAGCTTTGAACTTCAATCCTGAGTAGCCAGGATTACGTATGCAAACCACAGGTGCCTAGCTCCCCTCTCCTCTTTTCCCACAAACCTTACATCATGGGTAGTCAGGATTCTTCCGAAGCAGATGTGGAATGAAGCTCAGATATTAAGGTGTTAAGATGACATTGTATCAGATTTCGGGGAGGGGGAGGGAGCCAGATAGGTTTAGAATGCAGGTCTGTGGGTTTCTCTGTTTCTGAGCGTCTTTGGTCTTCATGTTGTATAGTAATCTTGGGGAGATTCCACATTGGGACTCCCTGGGCAGCTTGCAGAAGTACAAGAGGTGATGGCAGCCAGAGAGCAACTGCTGCAAAACATTTGAATACGGAACAGTGGGTCATAGGCGAGATATGACAGGGTCAAAGGAGGGTGTTAGGAACAATGCTCATATGCATGTAAAGGTGAATGTATGTTTGAATGTATATATCTATTTATCCTTCATGCTTATGTAAGTTTGAAAGCTCAATGGGAGGGGCCCAAATATAGTAAAAAGAGGTTGGTCATTGATGGAGTCTGGATTGGTAGAGCTCAGGATCAATAGCATGATAGATCTACTACTTGCTAAGAAGAAAAGGTTCATTTTTTCCTAGAAGTTAGTTTGAGAGCCAAGTATTTACAAGGAGCTGCATGTCTGTGGAAACAAGCCATAATTAGATCCTCAGCTAATGTGGAGGCTTGGTCCTTAGTGAAGGAGGGAAGAGAATGGAGAAGACTTAGGGAGGTTCAGGCAGCTATGGTGGGCATTTGCTGGGACTGGGCAAGTAGGTCGTTGAGCAGTAGTATGTATGTCAAGCTGAAACACAGAGCATGAATTTGGCTTGGTGCCTGACAACATTAGAACGGTCCAATGAATTTACAATCCCAGGAATGCAAATTAAGAGAGAAAGTAGAGCATAATGGGATAGCAAAGTGATCAAGGCAGTAGATAAAGAACACAATCAACAAATGCACATGAGTGTGGGACCTGGACCAGGGAGGAGAGTGAGGCCCTGCAAGGAGAGACTAGAGAGAGGAGGGATACCTGATGAGAGTTTATGACAAGAACCGAAAAGATACAGCCTAAGGGAGGAGGAGGAGGCGTAAGAGAGGGTTAGGAGCTCAGACTTCCCTGACTTCGTTGACAGAAAATCCTTGTGATCTACTTTTAGACCAGTATGATTTTTGTGTATATGTGTGTTTGTGTGTGTACAATCTTGGGGCTTGAATTCGGCCTGGGTGCTGTCCTTGAGCTTTTTTGCTCAAAGCTGGCATTCTACCACTTGAGCCACAGCTCTGCTTCTAGCTTTTTGGTGGGGAATTGAAAATAAGAGTCACGGACTGTGCTGCTTGGGCTGGCTTCCAACTTCAGTCCTCAAATCTCATCCTCTTGAGTAGGGAGGATTACAGAGGTGAGCCCCTGGCATCCAGCAGCAAGCTGAGTTTTAACCAAAGATTCTTAGGGGATCCTATTGCAGACTCCAGTTTTAGAACCTGTGTTTGAGAACCTTCCGTTTGAAACTGAAGAAATGGTCATAAAGTCATTACTCTTCAGAATGGGGTGAAGAGCCGGGTGCTAGTGGCTCATGCCTGTAATCCTAGCTACTTAGGAGGCTGAGATCTGAGGATCATTGTTCAAAGCCAGCCCAGGCAGGAACATCTGTGAGACTTATCTCCAATTAACCACCAGAAAACCGAAGTGGCGCTTTTGCTGAAATGGGAGAGCACTTATCCTTGAGCTGAAGAGCTCAGGGAAAAAGCCCAAGCCCAGGATTCAAGCCCCATGACTGAAAAAAGAAGGAGGTGAAGATCCCTTCTATAATCGTATCAAGCAAATGTGTTTCGCAATTTTTGGATCCAGGATCTGTTCACACATGTATTTTCTGCAGTATCTATCTGCACCACCTTGCTTGTCAAAAGTGAGTGTTTTTGCCAATTTCAAGATCTGATAAATTTCAAGGATTTTCCCAGCACCTGGATCCTGTGACTGGGTTGAGACTGACTCACCGAGCCGTTGCCAAGTTGGGAGAAGGGACAAAAAAGGCCATTAACACTAACTGGTGGCAGTGTAGACACTTGTCTGGGACCATTGGTGACTTCTTAACATGGGTCTTTGCTTTAGATATACACACTGGTTCTTTCTGAACGCAGTTTTCTTTTTCGTCTTTTCTTTTTTGCTAAGAAACTCTATTTACCTACCTGCAGGGGGGAAAAAACAGCCCTGAAAGTTTTTCTTGTTTAACTTTTTTTCTTTTTCACAATACTTTCAGTGCAAACTAGGGAAATTAATGGGGCCATTTGTTGATGTTAAACTTTTAGAACTTTATCTTTGCTTCTGGTTTACCTTTTGGTGGGCAATTTTTAAAGGACTTTTTACTATGTGGCATACACATACTGGGCTGGGGTTGGAGGTGTGATGGCCACCCCCCGTTGGCACTCCATGTTTACACAGAGTGTGGAGCTGGACAGCGACGATGGAGGGGGCAGTGCTGCCCAGAAGCAAAAGATTTCCTTCCTGGAGAATAACCTAGAGCAGCTCACCAAGGTGCACAAACAGGTAGGAGAGCTCCGCTGGCTTCAGCGACCGCCCTTTCCTTCCTGGAAAGCAGCCTCACCAGGTGGGCCACAGTTGGGAGAGAAGGCTCTGAAGTTGATAGTAAAAGGGCTATACCTTGTCAGTGAATGTGAATGCTGGAAGGGTGCTTACAATCCTAGTTACTTCTTGATGGGCATGGTGGCATGCCTATGTAGTCCCAGCTAGTTAGGAGGCTTACATGAGCCTACCGTGTGAGACCAGCCTGGGAAACATATCAAGAAATGATCTGGAAAAAAACTAACAATAAGAATCTTTTAATAGTGATTTCCTTGATATATCAAAGAGTTTCTCTAATGGCAGCCAGCTAGTAAGGATAGAGTGGGAGCTCTCTAAGTTTGGGGAAGTGAGGCATTCAGAACCCTACCTTTTCATCCTGCCTTTACCCCAACCTTGGACTCCAGTTGGCCTGTTTCCTGTGATGTCCCTGAGGCCTTTGTGGCCTCCAAGAAATGCCAGGCACGCCCATTAAGCTGGTTCAGGTCCCTTTCTCTTTTTTTTTCATTGTTTTGTTTGTTTTTGCTTTTTACAACCAAGGGAGGAAGTAGACAGCTTCCTTCCATAGGTAGGAGAACAGGGATGTATCAGAACCAGTCCCTCCTTGCCCTGTTGCCCTGTTCCTGGTGAGCTTGGGTACCCTCTCTGACCATTACCATGCTGTGATATGTGATCAGTGTCGCAGAGAGTAATAAGCATTCACACACACACACACACACACACACACACACACACACACACACACACACACACACACACACACACACACACACACCAAGCACTTAGGCAGGTCATTTGTCTTCATCTTTTCTGAATGCTGGCATACTCCTTACTCTTGGGGATGGGACAGAAATGGTCCGACTGTTTGGACCACGTGGCCACAGGGATGTAATTTCCTTTGACATGTTCTTTTTCAACCTGCTAGTGAATGGCATTTTCCCCTAGAGGCAGGATGATAGATCAACACGGTTGAAGTCATTCCAGCAAATGGTGAGAATTACATAGGCTGAAACTTTCAGGCAACTTGAAATTTGGCTTCTGCAATCCATTATTTTATTCATGGGCTCGAGGAATACTGATTAAAATCCTAATTTCTGCCAGGCAGCTGCTGTGGGGGGTCAGTAAAACAGGCCAGGCTTGCAGGAGCTGGCTTTAATACCTTCCCAGTTTTCAAAATTTTCTTGATCTGCTTGGATCCTGACAATAGTGGCATTCAGTAGTTTCTTTGTTTTATAGATGTGAAACCCCCAAAAACATGTGGTACTCACATAATTTATACCAAGTTGGGTGGCAGGAAATAATGGGACTGACACTTGAGCCCACATTTCACCCAGGGTCAGCCTGTTCCTGTGGCTAGATGAGAAGAAACAAACACTCCACTCTTTTTTCCTCTCAGCCTTTGTATCTGTGACTGGGCAGGATCCCAACACAATGCCAATGTAGACTGATGTTGCCATGAAGAAGCACCATAGAAAGTTCCAGAACACGCATGTGTTTCATACCCTGCTTTTGAACGGACTTTAAATTTCTCAGTTTTCTCATGTTAATCCCCTACAGTAGTAAATCACACTTCTCATGCACCAACAAAACAGGAAATAAGTCTTGCCTCAAAGTTTTGTGAGGCTAGAAATAGCCTTTAAATTTACATCTTTCCCACTCCCCAATTTCGCATCCAGTTAACCCAGCAAACTAGAGTCTCAGGGCGTAGGATTTTTCCTTTTCTTTACCACTCACTGAGTTTCACTTGTTCAGCTGTTGCTCACTCTCATGTGGCTGTCCAGCCGGCAAGTGGTAACTGTGGCCCCCTTCGCCCCTCTTGGACAGCTGGTCCGGGACAACGCCGACCTGCGCTGTGAGCTGCCCAAGCTGGAGAAGCGACTTCGGGCCACCGCCGAGCGTGTCAAGGCCCTGGAGAGTGCACTGAAGGAGGCTAAGGAGAACGCCATGCGTGATCGCAAACGCTACCAGCAGGAGGTGGATCGCATCAAGGAGGCCGTGCGAGCCAAGAACATGGCCAGGAGGGCACACTCAGCCCAGATCGGTATGCACAAACCCTCAGTGATCCATGAGGGGGACCTATAGGACCCCCTCCACTAAGATCCTGCTGATCTGAAAGGTTGCAAACCTGCAGAACTTGGCCATCACAGCCTCTCATGCTCATCCATGGGAAGCACCTGCTGCCCCATCCTGAGACATGCCCCTTGCCCTGGGCTCTTCAGAGCTGGATTGCTGGGCCAGAGAAGCCAGCTGGCTTTGGAGGCAAAGGTCTGGCTAGAATCAGAGCCACACTCTTGGGAATATTGGCATACATATTCTCAGCAAAGCCTGCAAGGTTCCTTGTGTTCTGCTCCCAGCAAAGCTATAAAGAAACCAGTATAGAGCCAGGGCCCCCGGGGAAAGCTGCTTGCAAGTACAGGTCTGGAATAGCCCGGGAAGAGCCAGGCTGGCAGTAGTGAGCGGGTGTGGCATCAGGCTGGCAGGGAGCCCTGGAGTTCCAGCCCCTAGAGGACCTACATGGATAGATTTGGGCATTTTGCCTATTTATGGAAAGACAGTGCAGCTACTGAGTCATGGCCAGGTTAAAACCATCAGAATGAAAAGGGATTTAGAGATGTTCTCTGGAGAGTTTTTTTTTTTTTTTTAATTGAATACATGTAGTCTTACTTCCCATCAGATATTGCTGTCTTGTGATGTCTTGTGAGCCAGCGATTTGATGTTTCATTTAAAAATCCCTTAGATTAGTGATTCATTGAACCTATTAGATTTCTCACCCTTTGAGAATCTAGGGCAAATTGGTCTCTGTCCCCAGAAAACTCAGCACAAGTAGAATTCTGCATCTGGTTTTAGGGATTATACAGAGTGCTGTGAAATCCATGGGTCACCTGTAGATCAACCACAGATTAAAATCCAAAGTCCTTTCCTTCAGATTCTTTATTTACCAAATGTGTGTGTGCATGTCTGTGTGCGTGTATGTGCCAGTGTAATACTGGGGCTTGAACTCAGAGCCTCACACTCTCTCTTGGCCTTTTCTGCTCAAGGCTAGTACTCTATCACTTGAACATACCTTCATTTTCTACTCTTTTTTTTGTTTTTTTTCTTTCCATATATATTTTTTATTGTAGAAATACTGTACAGAGGTGTTACAGTTACATGAGTAGGGTAATAAGTACATTTCCTATTGAGCATTGTTACCTCTTCCTTTGTTTTTCACCTACCATCCCTTCCCTTCCCACCTCCCCAACTCCTCCCCCGAACCCTGAAATTGTAAAGTTCGTTTCCAACATAGTGCCTTATACATCTCATTGTTACAATGGGTCAACCAGTATCCTTATTTAAGCATTTTGTTATATCCCTTCCCCTCCTCAAATGTAAAAATGTATATACAAGATGCAGGGCACTGGAATCAAATACAGTGAAAACGGGTTATACCATGGGGAAAGAACATACAAAAGGAATAAGAGAATCACATAGTGCATTATAAGTACATTAAAAACAATAGCAAGAAAGAAAAAAACCACTTGTGTCCCTGTCTTGGGGTTCATTTCACTTAACATCATCTTATATGGTCATGTACATAGCTTTTAACCTTTTTTACTTGTCCTAGACATGTACTAGTTATTTCAAATAAGGGAAACCATGGGACCCATGTTTCTTTGGGCCTGGCTTACATCACTTAATATAATTCACTCTTTACTTTTTTGCTGGTTAAGTGGAGATAAGAGTCCCATGGATTTTTTTTTTCTGCTCTGCTGCTTTCAAACCGTGATCCTCAGATCTCAATCTCCTGAGTAGCTAGGATTATAGGCCCGAACTATCTGCACCCAGCTTAAACATCGTTTTCTTAAAAATAAGTGGATGGTTAAGTTCTCTCTGCCCCCTGAACATGTAGGTCCCATGGATCACTAACGGCACTGTGAAGAGGTCAGGCTTCCTGCTTTCAGAAAGGTTTAGTGATGTTGATAAGCACTGTGATTCTTGTCACCTGAGATGGTAGGTATTTGGGTTGCTGCTCCACTTCCATCTGAACATTGTTTTCTCTCCTTTTGAATACAGCTAAGCCTATCCGCCCCGGACACTACCCAGCATCATCTCCAACAGCTGTTCATGCCATCCGAGGGGGAGGAGGCGGCTCTTCAAACTCCTCTCACTACCAGAAATAAATAGAGTGAGTTCCTGCTGTCTGGGGGTGGTTTCTCTTTGGGACAGTCCTGGGGCTTATTTGGAGGCAGAGTTTTCTACTTGAGCTCCATGCATGCGATCTTTTAGATGAGAATTGTCTTGGGACTCCAGACTTGGCCTGGGGTCCCCGCTGGGACATTTGGGGCTGGTTGGGAACCTGAGCCAGGCCTGGCCTGATCATCTCCAGGAACAGGTGAGGTGTGGTACATGACTCACCTGAGCTTTTCTTTCATCTGTGGGACTCCCCTGTGCAGCCAACATTCAGAAGGGCATTACCTGCTTGTCAGCTGCAGTAACTGAGCAGGCAGAAGTGGGAGGTAGCTTTAGGTGTCAGCAACTGAACAGGAAGAGCCCAGGTTATTGGCTCATCTTTTTCTACTTACTATCTGACCCCAAAGAACAGGGTTTTAAGGTAGTGTGCTCATTTACATTTACTTAGGTGGGTCTAGACGACTTTTTCTTCGATATGGTAGTCTCTAAGTCTCTCTGCCTATAACCCACATACCCAACGACAGAATGAAAGTGCTCTATGTTTTAGGAAAGAAGAAAAAAAGCAGGATCTGAAGCTTATCCTTGGTAACTAAATAGAGAGGTTCCTGGGTGGCCTGGCAGACAGCAGATGGCCAGAAAGCTTTGTTTAGAAAATCTCTGACTGTGTGTGTAGATGGGGAACATCGTCCTTAGACTCTGAGCAAGGCAGGTGAACTTACACCTTGAGAAGTCTTGATCTTCACGGGTAATTGAACATGAAGAGCCCAGGTTATTGGTTCATCTTTTTCTACCTAGTATCTGACCCCGAAGAACAGGGCTTTAAGGAACTGTGCTCGTTTACATTAGTTTAGGTGGGTCTAGACCACTTTTTCTTCAAGAACGAGACCTTTCTGCATTAGGGTAAGAGCTGGAGCCCTCACTCAGATGTGATGACAGCATTGCTAAGGCTCAGCAGAAAGCTCTGGAGATGATTTGGTGGCCGGTCCTGGCAAGCTCTCAATTGGACTCGGCAGCGGGCCACCTTGTTCATAACAATTGGATATTATGCCTTTGCTGTTGATGGCACGTTGTCAGTATTGATCCTTGAAGGGTCTGAAGGATCATGTTGGGCAGTTTAGAGCAGATAAGCTTAGAAGCAATGGCCTCAAACTGCAGTGGGGGCTGGAGGTGGAGCTCAAGGGTGGACCATGTGCCTACATGCAGAAGGCCTGGGATCAGTTTCTAGTACAAACATTCTCAGCACTGATAATGGTAGCTATCTGTCAGCATCATGGTGGCACCAGGGGCCAGGCTCCTAGAGTAACTTGAGGGTTAGACTTGTCTTTACCATGAACCCTAGGCGGTTTGGATGTCCACTACAGTCAGAGAACTACTATTCTGCTGTTGCTGTGGCTTCCATAGGATGGAAGTTTTCACCTTTCTCATGTAAAATAAGTCTGAGGGATTCTTGTCAATGGAAACTTAGTCTCCTAACTTTAGACTCACTTCCCTCCAGAAGATCACCTCATGGTCACCAAAGTGACTTCTACACTTTCACCTCTCATGTCTATGTTTCAAATGCAGTCTGTAAGAGGAATCAGGGGAGAGGCAAAACCAGCCCTCCTGGCTGAATCAGCATCCTTTAAGTCGCCTTCCTTCCAGAAGCCCCATTCAAGCTGATGCCTTCATCCCTCTGACGTCTAGAGGCAAGGCAGGCTGAAAAGGGAGTTTGAGGACCAAGAGAGTGGATGGTGGATCTAGCAGCCAGCACTCTGTAGTTCCCTGACGCTATTGAGGAGCTGCTCTGGCTGTATGCATTGTATTCATTATTCCACCTGCTGTATGTATATGTCTGATTCCTGAAAGTTCTTAGTAGGTACATTGGTCCAAAAATGATATGATGGATAGTCACAGTATAGAATCTGATAGCCTTCTGGGCCTACATTTCATGTAAGGTCCATACAACCAAAGGTCAGTCATTTATTACCAGTATGATCTCTTCTGCTACTGATGATTGAAAGTCAGGACTTTTGGTGAGACTTTCATGACCTTCAGAATAGCAGCCCAGCCCAGCCTCATCCATCAGGCAGTTGTGTGGGGGGTGGGGAAAGAGAGAGAGAGAGAGAGAGAGAGAGAGAGAGAGAGAGAGAGAGCAGAGAGAGAGGAAGGGGGGGTATGTACTGGTACTTAACTCAGGGTCCTATCCCTTAGTGTTTTTGCTCAAGGCTAGTATTCTAGCACTTGAGCCAAAACTCAACTTCCAGCCTTTTACTGGCTACTTGGAGATAAAACTCTTATGGACTTTGCTGCCCTGGATAGCTTTGAACTTTGATCCTCAGATATCAGCCTACTGAGTAGCCACTGGCTACTCGGAGGTGAGCCACTGGCACCTAGCTTTACTCATGGTATTCTATTTTATCTAAAATTAAAACTTCCTTAATTCTATCCGTCTAGCTCTATCATTTATCCATCTAGTAGGTAGATACTTTTCTCCCACTGTCATTTGCCAGGATGATAGTGTGGTTGAAGGACTAACTCTGAACAGAGGATCTGGGTTGTTGTCAGATGCCAGGTCTTTCACTTTAATTAAATTACTTGACCTCAATCAGTTTTCTCACCTGTGAACTGGGGAGAAGCTTCTACACTGACATTGACATGAAGTTAACATGGGTTCTGCTTCTGACCCTGACAGCATATGCCAAGTGCTCATGAAAGTGTTAGATGCTAATATGGATGAGTGCAGAACTTGGCACCCAGTTGCTGGTTGATAAATGTTGAATTTGTTCTCCTTTATTAAAGAGGGAAAATTAATCTCTTTGCTACTTTATAACCACTTGACACTTCTGACACCAGATTCTGCAGTGGTTATAGCTGGGTGTCTGACCGTCTAGTTCAGTTCTGACACTGTCTACTTGGAGACAGATCAGCCTGCACAGCCTGTAGGAGAGTCCACCCTCTACTTCAGTTGCAAGTCTTAGATTGTGACCTGTGCTTCTGGATATAAATCAAAGATCCGACACATCTTTAGACTCAATGAAATTGTTAGAGCAGCCCACAGAAACTCAAGGGATTACTTTACTCATATGTACCCGATTGATTTTAACTAGAAATGATACAAATGAACTACAGATGAACACCAGACAAGGCCTATAGGATGTGTGTGGATCCTCTGTAGGAGAGTCTCCAAACCATGATCTTCAGAATCTCAGATTCCTGATTAGCCTGGCAGCGATGTGAAGGATGTGGGGGTAGAGATGGATGCCTGTTTACTATAAGGTGGGAAATACTGCAGCTGATTTCTAGGCTGAGCAGGAAGGGTGGAGGAAGAAATGTGGGTGCAGGGAAGAGACAGGTAAGGTGGGAAGGAAGGTTAAATGCATCTCATCTTATTGCTTCTCTTGTTGAGCAAGTAAACCTTGTTTATGAGCACAGAGGGCAGAGGATAGGAGGTGGGGCTGCCGGCGTGAGACCAGCAAAGGGGAAGTGAGCCTCTTGGACAGTGCCAAGTGAGTGCTTTTTGAGGCCTCATGCTTAGTTTTGTACAGACATCTGTCCAGCTCTCTTGTTCTGAGGACCATGTTCATCACTGGTTCCTGGCAATGCTTTTTCAAGCCATCCTGGGACTTGTCAAAACATAACCACCAGATGGCGCCAGGGGGGCATTGCTGAAATGTTGGCTTTAAAAACTTAGCAAGCAGAGAAGCCTCTTTCCTTTCCATTCCTTTCCTCTCCCCTCCTTTGTTTTTAGAATGTTATGCCTCAAACTTGAGTAGTGAAGAGGTACTTTTAGGCAATGAAGCTCACACAGTTCTGAATGGCATATATTTATATATGTATAAATTTTAAATAGCATACATTTTCTTCTTATACAACTAGGCAGTCAAACAATCTTTAAAACCACAGATTAAAAAATTAGAAATTAAAAACCACAGATTAAAAACATGCAGACTACTCAGCTTAATATAGTTTAGTAGCCAAGTGTGGTGGCATACACCTGTAATCCCAACTACTTGGGAGGCAACGACTGAGAATATTGTGCTTCAAGACCAGCCTGGGTAAAAAGTTAGTGAGACCCACCCCCCTCCACCCATCTCAATTGGGTGTGGTGACTTTTGCCCATAATTTCAGCTACAAAAGAGGTACAAGAAGGAGGATCATAGGTTGAGGTCAGCCCTGGAACAAAATAAGACAACCTGTCTGAAAAACAATGAAAGCAAAAAAAAGACCAAGAGTGTGGTTCAAGTGGTAGAGTGCCTGCCTCGAAATTGTAAAGCCCTGAGTTCAAACCCCAGTGCTGTCAAAAAGAAAATTACTGTAAGATAATCATGACATGACCCATTATTCTGTTTGGTGAAATGAAAGCACTGAAAAAATCCCAGCCTGCCTTCATTGAATCTTTCTTCAAGCCAAGACACAGCGTTTTCTACTGAATCCAGCTCTTTGCTCCATAGCTCAAAGATTATTAGCGTTGTGAAAAGTTGTGCCAACTCTGTCATCGCTATAGTGAGTGTGAAGCTGTGGGTGTGTGGAGGTATGCCTGGGCCCTGTGGTCACCTCGGTGAAATGCAATGTGAATGTGAATGGTTGAGATTTCTGTAGCAATGAACACACAGAATTTTGATATTTTGAGGACTGTACTTCTACCAACAACTCTGTGTTAAGCCTAGAAATGGTATGCTTTTTTGGCAAACTTTCAGAACACATTTGATTTTTTTTTTTTTAATCACAGTGACACAGCCAAGAAAACCCAAACAAACTCATTTGAGGCTTTTACAGTACACCTGAGAAAAGCAAAGCAGTGTTTTTCTGTTACCTGGGACAGTGCTCTTGTACCTCCTGGCAGAACCCCTGGTTAACAGAGCCATGGCCTGTGAAGGAGCCCAGGAGATCAGTTGTGTGCTCTCTTTCTCTGTGATCTCTCTCACATCTCCTGAGCTAGGGACTGACCTCAAAAGATGGCTGTCTTTCTAGATCTCACTCTAGAGTGTCTGTTGTGAATATATTTATTCATTGTTA